GAAGACAGTGAGAATTCAGATGGAAGAAATTCTCAATGGTTTGTGAATTGTTTGAGAATTAAGGTTTATATAGGGAATCGAACTTTCCTAAAAGCTGCGCGTGGACAATATTCATTTTTAATTTATATCAAAATTTGAGTTATGCTACATGTACCGAATTTTTATACCAAATATTTTACACTTCACTCACATTAGGAGGTGGGGACCACAAGCCAAAAATTTTAAATACACATGGGGCCCGCACGCATTGTGAGAGGGGGGACACCATTCGTTACCCCCTTCGGTATATTTAGACTAATTCTCAAAATTTTGACCACTAATTTTTAGCACGCGGTATTGAATATTGGATTAGATTTTGATCCATTCATACTTTCCTTTACCCTTGTTTGGTTTAGTAAAAATAATTTTTTTAATAGATTTTAATATAATTGGTTGAATGCATGGTTGAAAAGTCGTGGATCTCATAAAATGTGTAATTAAAATTAATTGTTGACATTAAGGCTCTGTTTGGGAGAGATTTTGATTTTTTTACAGTAAATCAATTCTCATTTTCAACCACACATTCTTCAATAAAATAATAATTTACATCACATCAATAATTTTTTCTTCTTTTTCAACCACACATTTCCCATCATATCACTATTCAAAATCAATTCTTCCCCCAAAAATCTCTCCCAAACAAGCTATAAATTTAAAAAATATATATTTAATTTTTTAGCTGAACGAAACATATGGGCTATGTTTTTTAGAATAAAAATTTGAACTCTAATTAGTTATTGAATCATGCTTGATATACAATATTGGTTGACAACATTGTTGATAATACATCACGTGAGATGTGGACATTTTAAAAAATAACTTATCTTTTCAATTAACAGTTTTTTGCCACCTACAACATTGTCAACAATGTTGTCAACCAACATTGTATAAATAGATTAATCGTTAGTTATTATATAAATATGGAATGAATTATTCTATCTGTGCATCAAATATTACATTAAAGGTTACATAATGCAAGTGACATTATGTAACTCTTGATGTACATCAAGCGAAGCCCGGAATGGATTAATCAATGTAACAATACCATAAAAAAATATTGTTTTGTGCAGAAATGGTTTATCTTCTTTGTTTACACTGCCTGTCTGAATTCTACCATAAATATTGTGTGTATCTATTGCATAGTTTTTCAGTAGAGTAATGTTATTTAATATCATTGGTGAACACCAGTTTAAGTGGCACTAAATCAGTGTTCTAAAAAGAGTAAATCATGTGTGTTTGAATCACATTATTTTGAAAGAATGTATTTTGAAATAGTAGATTGATGGAGAATGTGTGGTTGAAAAAGAAATAAAAGTTATGTGATGAAAAATATTATTTTAATGAAGAATGTGTGGTTGAAAATGAGTAGAAGAATGAGAATG